GAAAAAAATAAAAAATTGCAAAAGGCACAACTTCACCACATGAGTGATATAAATGCAAAGATTGATGACGAAATTTTTAACAGTTTCGGAGTTCTGCTCCGGAAACAAACATCACTCACAAAGTTAATTAGCCTATGTCCAGCATGCTTTCATGAAAATTGGAAAATAAAAAAATTGGAAAAATTCCAAAATAGCAAAAGGTACAACTTCACCACTTAAGTGATATAAATGCAAAGTTTGATGAAGAAATATTTAACGGTTTTCGAGTTCTGCTCCGGAAACGATTCAGACAGACGGACGGACATGCCCATAGCTATATCCCCCCGCATTATATGCCGAGGGGGATAACAATGGAGGCAATCGTATCTGGGTGTGCAGCGTGACGACCAAACACTTTAACCCTCTGTAAGCTACCAAAACTCTCCGGTGCGACACCAGCCGACCACTCTTTGCAAAATATCACACATAGAATTAAAACTGAACTCGGGCTTAAACGAGCATCGTGCACGTAAGTTATTCTCAAAGTTGTAGTCTCCACTTGGTAAATGTACTTTTTTCCGTACCGATAAGTCTCCCTGAAAGAAGTTACACTTCATAATGTAAGCGTCCCAGCAGATTCCATGAACTCTGTCTTCGATGAATAAGATAGTTCGGATTAACAGCAATGTGTAGAATATTAGTTCAATTCATTCCCTGTTTGTAATCGGATCGATCATTATTTTGGATTCGAAAACACGAGCAGCCGATCGGGGCACGAATAAGCGGCGAAACTCTTAACACCTGGTTAATTCAAGCATACGACATCTCTTGTGTAGAAGTGTTTTAGCAGGTAGATGGTGTATTGAGTAAACCTTTCCATTAATTCGGTTTACATTAATTTGATGTAGGTGGTGATCCGATTATTAAACCGTTTTCCCCCTTATTAAAAACAGTCTTCTCCCCATCTCTTGTGTAGAAGTGTTTTAGCAGGTAGATGGTGTATTGAGTAAACCTTTCCATTAATTCGGTTTACTTTAATTTGATGTAGGTGGTGATCCGATTATTTAACCGTTTTCCCCCTTATTAAAAACAGTCTTCTCGCAAGCGTCGGTGTCATCAGGGTCAACTAACGTTGCTCGTGGGAAACACGCATACCAGAGCTCCACAGACAATGGCGGTAACGCAGAGCGAGCAACAGACGGCAGCACCAGCGGGGCTTTCTCGGGTGGTTCCTGTACGGAAACAAGGCATTCTTACTCTCCTTGGTTGGCGATTGACCTTGGTGAGGTATACCACGTGAGGAACATTGTTATCTACAGTCGGACAGACGCTTGCTGTGGTGAGTGGCTCCGGGTGGGGAGGGTCGCAATTATGCTTTTTGTTTATATTCAAGACAAACAAGTTGTTTCTCGGAAAGGGAAAGCAGAAATATATCCCTGCGCTGTGCTAATAGTTAATTGAAGCCTTTCTATTCCCAATTCATATTTTTTTAATCACATAGCTGACGATAATCAGAAGCCCGAATACAATTTACCCGTGAAAATCCGGGTTAGAATAGGTCTTCAGCAACCCATGCTTGCCGTAAAAGGCGAACATGCTTGTTGTAAGAGGCCACTAACGGGATTGGATGGTCAATCTCGCTGACTTGGTTGATGCATGTCATCGATCCAAATTGCGTAGATCGATGCTCGACCCGTGAAGATTCCGTGGTAGAATAGGTCTACAGCAACCCATTCTTGCCGTAAAAGGCGACTATGTTTGTCGTAAAAGGCGACTATGTTTGTCATAAGAAGCGACTAACGGGATCGGGTGGTCAATCTCGCTGACTTGGTTGAAACATGTCATCGATCCCAATTGCGTGGATCGATGATCGTGATGTCAATCAATGGATTGTCTGGTCCAGACTCGTTTATTTTACAGATCGCCGTCATATAGCTGGAATATTGCTGAGTGTAGCGTTAAACATAAAACAAAACAAAACAAAAAACAACAATTAAAAATGACCTTTTATAAACATGAAAAATGAAGGTTGTTTTGATCATGTTTACACCATTCAAGGCATTCAAGGTTTTCAGGAAGACATGTGGAGGACATTTCCAAATTTGATGTCCGATAGAAAATTGCCTTGCCTGTGCAATTGTTGGGGCATAATACGCTCACCTGTCAACGAACGTGATAGTCATCCATAAACACAGGCTCATGAAATGGTTGGAATTGTTCTTTTTAACAGAACATGTTCATTTAGGAGGATTTCAGAGCGAAATTACATTTATCTTTGTCCGTACCAATATAAAATAATTATGAAATATTTTGAGAGGTTTGTGGTCGACGGTGTACATGCTACGTGTCTACAATGACAATAACAACATCATTGACATGGATTGTCACAAGACAGGTAGCAGTGTTTGTTTTCAAATTTTCTTTTGCATTTAGGTGTGTTCCATTAATTAATACATTGTCAGAAACGTATAATATTTTTCCATGATAAAATGACTTTTTGAATCCTATGAATGAGTGCACCAAATTTTAATTAGATGTGATGTAGTTCAAGAGGAGTTATATTAATCAGATTCTTTCATATTAAGATATTTAATCTGTCATGGCATGAACTATAACAGGAAACTTAATATGAAAATCAGGTATCTTTAACTTCTTTTGAGTAGTATACGTATAGATAAATAATGTTTCCCCAGCCTCCAGATTGTCTGCCTTCTCTGTCATGGTCTCCGGAGGTGTGTGGTGTGACGGTAGAAGAGGACATGGTTTCATTCAGTGCGCCTACCAAGAGGATGTTGTTGACAGCTTTACTGACCTCTCCTGCAATGCCATCGGTCGCACCATCTTGATACAGCTACACAAAACCGAGGTTTTAAATCTATGCGAGGTTGAAGTATACACATGTAAGTATATAACAAGCTGCAGATGGAATATGAAGTAAAGCTTAACTTGGATGGCCCGTTAGGGTTTTTATTTCACGGCCTGTGTTGAAAACATCAAAACATCAAAAACATTTGCAGCCTTATTGAAGAAACAAAACAACAAAAACACTTGCAGCCATATTGAAAAGAAGAAGAACAAAAACACTCGCAGCCATATTGAAAAATACAACAGAACAACAAAAACACTTGCAGCCATATTGAAAACCAAAACAACAAAAACACTTGCTGCCTTATTGAAAAAAAATAACAAGGAGAACACTTGGAACAATTTTGAAATAACAGCAACAGCACTTTCAGCCCGTGATGAAGATGGCAAAATCGCTAATAGTAACACATGTCTGCAGATACAAATCAATATGTTGAGTTACTTTCATTGGTGTATACAACCGTGGTTTTCCCATCTGTTTCCTTTCCATTGATAAGACATATCTATTACTTTCCCTTGATTACAAACATCTTTTCCCTGCCCTATGATTACACACATATCATTCCTGCCCTGTTGTCCAGGGTAACGAGGTTTCACTTTTCAACAATGGGAGCTTTATTGTAACGTGGGTGTGCATTTTTTGTTGTATTTAAATATTTCTTCTATGAAAATGTGAAAAAAGTGGATGAAGTACAAAATGTTTCTGGATATGGTGTGATAGGTTTGGTTTGGTTTGGTGTTTTACGCCGCATTCAGCAATATTCCAGCTGTATGACGGCGGTCTGTAAATAATCTAGTCTGGACCAGACAATCCAGTGATTTACATCATGAACATCGATCCACGCAATTGGGATCGATGACATGTATCAACCAAGTCAGCGAGCCTGACCACCCGATCCCGTGAGTCGCCTCTTACGACAAGCATAGTCGCTTTTTACGGCAAGCATGGGTTGCTGAAGACCTATTCTACCCCGGATCTTTACGGGTCTTATGTTATATGAAAAGATGTGACATAATTTTAATTTCTGACTTGGCAGATGAATCAACGAACGTTGCCTTCGGGATGCCGACGAACCAGTCCTCCACAGACGCATTTTCTGTTTGGAAAGTTTCCTTAAACTTTGCCTTGGCATTGCTGACGCAATTGTTTTGTCCCCCTACCCTGGAAGAACAAGACCCATGGTGGACCGTGGACCTCCTCCTGGACTATAAGATAGACAGAGTTGTCATCTGTAAGTAGAAGTCATGTATGTGTATTACGGAAGTCACAGCTCAAGTCCCCACAATGACACGTGTCAAATAATTACAATGAATTAAGCGCTCAAAACCAAACTGTCATAATTTATCAGATCGATCTCTACATCAAAGCAAGTATGAATACGCCATTGGTACCATTGGTGCCCACATCCCTACTCTGCCCAGACTCTTCCACAGCGATAAAGCTGAATAATAATTGTTGGGAAGCATATTACTTGGCTCGACTCAATTTCTCCTTTCGTGAAATATATGAAGACAAAGCTGAATAATAATTGTTTGGAAGCATATTACTTTGCTCGACTCAGTTTCTCCTTTCGTGAAATATATGAAGACATTACTTAATACAGTTACTCACTTTGTCACTTACTCGTTACCCCCATTACGTATGAAGTTACGTCTTTTTGTGAGGCTCGGTTATGTAATTGCAGTTTAAAACAGCAGTTTTAAACCCTCCTCCATTCGTCTACGAATAAGTCGCACTTCACTGTGACCACGGAAGACTTATATTTCTTAGGTGTACCTGGATCCTGTGATCGCGCATAAATTCAGGGTTTGCTCCTAGATTAAGCTGACACGCCTGATGTAACAGCAGTATTGTCAAAGCGGCCTTAAACCCAATCCAAAATTAGCTGAGGATTATAATACCAAACTTTTCCAATATTACAATATTAACTTTGACATAATCTTGGTTGATGCATGTCAATCGTATCCCATTTGCGTGGATCGATGCTCATGATGTCAGTCACTGGATTGTCTGGTCCAGACTCGATTACTTACTGACCGCCGTCATATAGCTGGAATATTGCTGAGTGCGATGTTCAAGAACAAATAAACAAACAAACAAATCATAGGCCCAACTGTGCACCGCTTGTCATGGCCGTGGTATATGATTTTTAGTTTCAGGTCTTAAACAGGCTCATCTCGTCGTCTACGTCGACGAGGACGTTTGCTATGACCATGATGGTGAGGTCAGTTCCAAATTGACCTTGACCTGTGGCAGCGTCATGACCGGCAGCATGATAAGAATTCAATTGAGGGGAACGGCTTCTCTTGAGTTGTGCAAGGTACAAGTGTATGGAGGTAGGGAATAATAGATATTCAATGTAAATGTGATCCTAAATGTTTTATTTCTACTATTATATTTATTTTGTGTTGCAAGAATGGTTAAATATGTATGTAAACACATGACAAGCACATTGTGTACCAGTTATCATAAATACAATAAACTAATCATTAACAGCTGAGCCACATTACCTTACAAGGTCTTGTATACACGCCGCCGCTGTCTCGTGGCAGGAGTAGTGATGTGCTGTGCAAGGCAACAAACACTTTTGTTTATGAAAATTGTGTGGATGGCGGGTGCTACCGGTAGAGTAGGACATGGTTACCCTTTTCACGAACACCTCGTGTCATCACTGATTTTCGGTGATCTATTCATGTTACATTGACCGTCATTGTGCCTTATACGCCCAATGAAATCTGGTTATTCTCTGGCCTTGACGTTTTATATTTAGATGGTTACAATGTGTCACCTGGCTGATTGTCTTTGCACCCCGACATTTTGAAGGCATAATTGTTCACTGGGCATTTATTCGACCGCCTCCGTTGCCTAGAGGTGGAGCGTCCGCCCGAGAGCGGAATGTACGGGGTTCGATCCCCGGCCGCGTCATACCAAAAGACGTTAAAAGATGGTACTTGTTGTTACCCTGTCTGGCGCTCGGCATTAAGGGGCTAAAACAAGGACTGGTCTGCTCAGGGTCAGTATACTGTGTCTGAGTTGGTATTCATGTTAAACTGCGGCATAGTATCTCAGTGGGCTAGCACTATAAATCGGCATCAGTCCGGACTAGTACAAACAGCCACACACACACACACACACGTGCATGTGTGTCGCTATATAAGTGCAATAATCTTGGACGCGACGTTAAACACCATTTTACCTCACCTCACCTTTATACATTTAATATATATTAATTAACAATTACTAACCGTATAAATCACAAACCGTCATCTACTAGTTATAATTACCAGACATTAATCATGACGATTTTGGGTGTCAGCCGCAGAAACAGCATAAACTGCACCTACTCAAATGAACGCATACATCTGAGATACGTATTGCGTACAGTGGCTGCAAATGTTGATGGTAATACATTTGCGTTAGACATGTGGAGGACATTTCCAAATTTGACGCATCAGTGACAAAATGAAGTTGTTTGCAATTCCCTATATTGAGTTGCAGCATTATGTTCCCATGTTTTGTTTAAGGTGAACAATTGACTTACATGAGCATGTTTTTGTGACGGGTGCCACGGTACGGTGGGTCAGGATACGCCCACCCTTTCACGAACACCTGTATCATCACTTTTTGACAGTGGTTCATAAACACATGCTCATGACATCGTAGGAATCGTACAAAGGTTTCGTATAAATACGAACAGGGTTTTGTCGCTTTTATTTATTTATTTATTTATTTATTTATTTATTTATAATCATTATTTCCTTTTCAACCAGTGAGCAACAGTAAAATATTGTACACTAATTACCTTTTATCTTTGTAGTTCCGATTAACATCGACTACCCATGTGGGATAGACACCCTCACATCTATAACGAATGTGCAGGCAGTGACCGCTGAACTTGAAGTCAGTCATATTGCTGGACACGTAAATTCACATTTAATAGATACATACACATCCATGGTCGGAGACAATTTCGGACGAACAAGCAACACCTATTCTACACACACCGACCAGGCAATGTCATGGATGACGAGCAGATCAGATGATGGTGACAGTTCAGACAGTCCGCATGTGATGAGCAGCTCGGACGATGTAGTGTTCACCTCTGATGGCGGTTTGGGTAGCAGCCTCTCCTCTACAACTTACCCCTTGGAAATACCCAGTAGCCATGTGTCAGTCTACGGAGGCAGCGTTGCTACTTCAGTACTCACAACAGGCGGCAGCACGGACACGTCAAGCAGCTCCATCAACCCTTACACAACAACCAGTAGCATGTCTGGAGCACGCACGGTAACTAAGCAATGCCTCTGTCGTTGTAAAACGTCACATCCGCAGACCCTGGAAGAGCTTCAGGACACGGTTGATGAATTACAGGCGAATCTGGCAGTTGATAAAGCAAACACATCTAGTAATAGAAGAAAGCGTACCTCGGCCAAGGATGCCAGACCGTCAGCGTTGTATCTCGGCACACTGGGTATTGTCATGTATGTCATTGTATTTGCGTTTCTGTTTCTTTCGGATGTAATCAGTTTGTGGAAACGGGGATCCCGACAAGGCCACGTTCATTCAACTATAATGGATCAGGGTACTTAAGTTTCAAAGCTTTCCAGGTTTGATGGACTTTTTACTGGCATGAAAAATGCTGCTTTAAGATTGTGGCCATTACGATTTTGGAAGTTTATATGTAGTAAAGTATATCGTTATGACAACAGTGTGTGAGTGAGTGAGTATGGTTTTACGCCGCTTTTAGCAGTATTCCAGCAATATATTGGCGGGGGACACCAGAAATGGGCTTCACACATTGTACCCATGTAGCGAATCGAACCCGGGTCTTCGGCATGACGAGCGAACGCTTTAACCACTAGGCTACCCCACCGCCCCGTTATGACAACAGGAGCTATGCATTATTGTAAAGCTGTATTATTTAATTATTATGTGCAGGTAACATTCTGATGAAATTCTTTGTCAGTTTTGTTGATGGATCTCTGATGTGTATCTAGCGGGGGTAGGTAGTCAAATTATGACACCGCTGACTCGTCACCTCGGGTTCAATTCCCGATATTAGTACAAAGTATGAAGCCATTTAGGAGATGAACCTACTGTGCTTTCAATGTAGAGGTTCGCAGGTCAATTTGATACCTGTAAAGCTCATTCGAAAACGTGAGGTTTCGAATTTGAAACATGGACTGTTGTCGATTCGAAGGCCGAAACCGCTCGACACTTTAGGTTCATCTTCATTCTTCCATTACACAATGACAAAACAAACTCTTTGGCTTTAGCGGATATGATTACTGATGTGTCATCGGTTGAGACTAATATTTTCCGTAGGCTGCATGGGAAAATTCAGGGATAAGTGACTATCGGTTTTACTCTATCTATATATGTTTGCTTAATGTGTACCCAAAGCATAATTGTCCCCATAATACTTGAACCATTTCGCAGATACACAATAGAACGAAGCAGAGACGTAATAGACATGTCCGCATTATTCAAACTGACATTTCAAGAGAAAATAAACCGACCTTTGTAGTGTTTTTGCCCTTAAATGCACCCCACTATTATGAAATTACAAAGTTCTGCAGATTAGAAGTCTAAGCATGTTGACGGGTAGACGTGACATCATAGTACGTGATAGCGTAGCCGTGATACTATGATATTACTGGACGCTCTCTATTGTATCTCCCGACATGGGTAACATGTGTGAAGCCCATTTCTGGCGTCCCCCGCCGTGATATTGCTTGAATATTGCTAAAAGCGGCGTAAAAACATACTCACTCACACACTCACTCACTCACTCACTCACTATTGTATCTGATGAATGCTGACAGCAGTGTAAAAACACAGCCGCGCACTTGCTATTGTTTTCGAGATACTTGGCACATGATTGAACTGTCAAAGTTGTGCCATATATAACATAATCATACCGCCATGTCAGAATGATGAGATCTAATTGGTCCACGTGACCTTGATAAAATACCCCACCACGAGCAACGCAGGCTGCAATGCAAAAGCCGCACGCTTTTCCCGAATCAATGGAAGTCATGTGACATAGCACAAAATAACCTCAGCACAATCGAACAGCTGTTTTCTATCAATTTTGAATTATTTGTGTTAATTCTTTTACAATGTCACATTAAAACATGTCGGTAAGATAAATTCGTTGTAGCAGGATCACTCCCGGTTCATGGGGATTTATGTGCCCCGCGTTAGGTTTCATACCACCGATAACAGTGTTTATTTTAAGTTGTATGCTGCAACTTATAATACACACTGTTATATCATTATAATTGAGTTTGCCGTCATTTTAAGGCAAGCTCATATATGTCTTCAAAAGTTCAAAACTATTTCTAAATGAACAATAAATTTTAACAATTTGAAACAGTTCTAAAACAATCGCAAATATGGCCAGAGGTTTTACATATGCTTATATATTCTACAGCCATATTTCTGTATTCCATATATAATCGTTTGTAATAAATATTATTTTCGGGGGTTGTGTTGTTGCCAGTTGGTAGGAAAACGCCTTTAAGTGCTCGAAGCAACCGTAAAATGTTGATATCAATCAGGTTACTCACTTGCAAGTGTTGTGGAACATTTACACGACACGACAAAACAGGTAATACTACGGTAAACATGGATATGTACATGTAAAATAGGCAACATGTTTCTACATAAACATAAACCCTTGATACATGTATGTAAATATAATTATCTCAATACTCAAAAGTTTTGACAACATTTACAGTTTTAACATGATCGCAAATGACAACCAAACAGGTCAAAGCTGTGCAACCTATAACAATATAATCGAACCCTGGTAAAATCCATACTTACTGTAACTTCAAACAACAATGCTTCACCACAACACCACACACCGATATAGTTTTGGATTGTGCACGGCTGAAATGTTCAACAAGGCTGGTTTGATGGCAAGGTAAATATCGAATGGAAATTCTGTGAGAATCTTTTGGGATTTGTTGTCGATTTTGTCAGCTTCAGCAACAAAACAAGATTTTGTATATTTTAATATAAATATTAATATATATATATATATATATATATATTTTTTTTTCTTTACCTTTTTATGTAAAACAATTTAGTCTCATAGCAACAATGTAATTTTTCTAGCTTGCAATTTCATTTTATAACAGTCTGACACACATTTATTTATTTCGAATGTTCATAGACAATTTTTCGCCCATCACATCCCAGCCAAACTCTCTGTGTGTCTTCTATATATCAGAAACTGA